CCCGCCCCTCAGCCCCCCTCCCTCCCGTCGCGCCCGCGACCCCGTGCCGGTGCCTCCGCACCCGCGCCATTTCAGCCACCTTGTCCCCTCCCGGCTGTGGCCGCCCCGCTTGACGTGGAGATCTGGAGGGATGTGCAGGTGAGAGCGGGAGCGTCTAGGACGGCCAAGGTGGACCCTGGGCTGGGTGGGAACCCTGAGCCTGTAGAAGACGGTACGTAGAAGGTCACGTTATTACTCTGCCCGCGCCCCGCTCCCTTTTCCCCCGCTCCCTGGGACCCCGGGGTCGGGTTGGGGCGGGGCAGGTTCTGGGCCTAGAGCTTTTCAGGAAGCAAAGGTTGGCCAAGCCTGGATAGGTGGGGGTGGGGTGGGGACCGAGCCCTGGCCGCGAAGCCGCAGCTTCTGCTTTTTCTCCTCCCCATCCCTCACCCCACTTTTGGCCGCTGGGTCAGATCTACTACGGACAGGTGCTGAAGAATTCAGCGGACCTCCAGACCAATGCCTGTGTCACCGCAGCCAGGCCAGTCCCCAAGCACATCCAGGAGGCCCTGCGGAATGTACACGAAGAAGTAGCCTTGAGGTAGAGTGCCCTGTGCTGTCCCCACGAAGACCCCAGGCTGCATCTTTTCCAACAGATAGCGATGCCGGTCACTAAGGGATTAACTCATTCCCACCAATCCATCCAGCTTGCCTTGTTTATTGTAAAATTCCTAAAGCTCAGCATCGACCGTGTTATTACTCTGCTTAAGAAGCTCCACTGATACCCCTCCATTCCTACCCTTCACTCACAGGATACATTCACACTCTTGCACCTGACATTCAAGACTGTCCACAGTTTGGCCCTTCCTAACCAGCCTTGGCTCCCTCTTGATGGATCTTGGATGTGACCGGTGCCACTGTGCACACAGTAAGCACAAAATAGCCGCTGGCCTTGTCTTCCACTCCAGCACCAAACCCCTCCCCAAATCCTTTTAGGAGAAGCCTCCTGACTTAAACAGAAACCCTTTTGCTTCTGCGCAGTTCTCCACCCTGCTTGCATAGTTTCCTCATTAGTATAATGCCCCTCTTTGATGGTATCAGCCAGCCCTTGGCGCCCTATATAAGCTCTACCACCCCCACACCTCGTGCTGACCTCATTTTGGGGTCAGCCCGTCTTTTTGTGCACAGCCTGGCAGATTCTTTTCCTTTAATAAAGCTTGAAGGGTACCCGGGTGGCTTGGGCTCACTTTCTTTCACCTCTGACCTTTCCCTTCCTCACTGCCATCAGCACTGCCTGCCCATCCAGCAGTTATCAATTTGGAATGCCTTCCATCTCCTTTCTACTTTCCAAACCCTCACTGATGTCCTACCTACTGCATGAAGCCTTCTCTAATCCTTGAGCACCCTCTTCCCCAAACTGCTACAGCACTTACTCCCTGTGCCACTTGGTTTGTCAATAAATCAGGTAATAAATCATAAGATAGGGCTGGCTGGTTAGCTCAGTTGGTTAGAGCACAGACTTGTAACATCAAGGTCAAGGGTTCAGTTCCTCAGACCAGCCAGCTGTCAAAATATATAAAATTTCAAAAAAAACATAAAATGTTTTTTGTGCTCATGTTTTACCTCTGCAATTAGAGTAAATACTCCTAAGGGACAGAAATCTTCTTACATTGCTTCCTCACTAACTAGCACAGTCCTGTACTTGAATTAGATGGTCAGCTAATGCCAAAATATATTTAGTCAACGAATATTTTAGATGGCTTATTTAAGTCTTAACACCTGGAACAGTGACCAACAATACTGTGGTATAGCAGATACAGTCCCCTTACATGGAGCTTCCAGTTCAGTGGAGGAGACTAAACAACTAAGTAGAAATATGAATGAATGGTAGAAAAAGGAAGGAAAAGAGGGAGAGAGGAAGGAAGAAGAAGGATTTATAAGTTTTAGTGGTTCCACCTCTTCTAGTGTCTAGAGAAAAATACGTATTTTCTCCTATGGCAGTGGTCTGGTCATCCCTGAGTGTCTAGCAAACTGCTGGATTTTGGATCTGGGTTGTGGAAGTAGGAAGGATTTATAAGTTTTAGTGGTTCCACCTCTTCTAGTGTCTAGAGAAAAATATGTATTTTCTCCTATGGCTGTGGTCTGGTCATCCCTGAGTGTCTAGCAAACTGCTGGATTTTGGATCTGGGTTGTGGAAGTGGCAGAGATTGCTATGCACTTAGTCAGCTGGTTGGTGAGAATGGACATGTCACTAGAATAGATATGACTGAAGACCAGGTGAGATGATTTGGAGAACACGGAGGAAAAAATTCTTGAAAGCATTCTTTTAGAGATAAAGTTGTTTCCTTTGTGACTCTTCTACCATCTATCCTGAAAGATTTTGTTATTGAATGAGGAATTTGTTCAAGCAAACCCCATGTAGCAAGGAGTTTATGTCCCAAGCTGCAGAATGTCCCACATGTCCATAGGATCTTGTATACCTATCCAGAATAGCTCAGGGGAAATATATTCCATTAGGAATAAGAAAATTTTAGGAAAAATGTAGTGTGTTTTTAAAAAATGTTGATTATCAAATCTATATTTATACAAGATTCTGAAGTTTTTGCTTAACAGGGTTGTTGTAGAGCTCAAATAAAAATATCTATGTAGAAATGCTTTAATAATGTCTTTGTTAGTATGCCATTTTAAAGACCAGGTCACTGTCTTTACCAAGATGTACTTATAAAAGGTAGACATTATTGTAGAATCTAGACCTCCAGGCTTTTGAAATTAGCTAAATAAAATCTTAAATTCTTGATCACTCATTTGCCTTAGATTTTAAGGTCAATATCTTAAATATATAATGTGGTGTTCTAAAAGTAAATAGCAACACTACAACAAGTTATATAATTTTAAAGGGATACGGGATATGATTTGGTAAGAGATACACCACCACGGGGCTGCATTTGGTTCAGATTGGCTAAACATTTAGGTAACTTAAGTATCTTTATTTAGGAGAGAGATACCCTTGGAAAGAGATTTTATTACTTGCTAGATAGGGCACTCTGCTTGTAGCCCACTGGCAGCAAAACACACTAGCCAAAGAGAGGACTTACTTTAAACTGAACCATAAACTGGTGAGCACAAAAGACCAGCAAGAGCACTAGGCTCACAAAGGGTGAGCTCAGAACCTTTTGATGGTTTTTTAAATTGATCTTGTTCCCTCATCCCTTTCTTTGTTATCTGGGACCAGTGTAATCTTTAACCTTGTTTGGACTAATATGGCTCTGTTTCAGCATGGTGGGGAGCTATATTTCAGTGACGTCTATGCTAGCCTTGAATTGCCAGAAGAAATCAGGACAAACAAAATTTTATGGGGTAGGTGTTTTTGCGTTGTTTTGTTTTAAGGCAGATGCTTGTTCATGTGCAGAGCTCCATTCTGCTAATAGCCAGTATGAGGCTAAGTGATGTGGGATCACATGGGATTATGCCAGGATTCTTCCTCTGCCACTCAAAAGTGATGTGATCTTGGACAATTTAATTGATTTCTTCCAGTCATTCTTTTCCAAACTGTAAAATGTAAATAATAATACAATCTTCTTTATAGGGCTGTTATGAAGATTAAATGGGATCATTAATGTGAAAAATACTTTGAAAATTGTAGTGTGGAAATGAGCAACTGTTCTAGAGCTGATGCACTTTAATCCCCTTATGTTCTTCTTATTATTGTGTTTATTCCTTTATTGTCATTTTAATGGGGTCTCTGGAGGGTGAGAAGATACATGCATGCTTGTGGTCAGTCTGACTATGAAACCAAAAGTTCTTACTTTTAATATAAATTGTTAACTTTTTTCTTATTTACAATATAAATGGATATTGTTAAAAAGTTGGAAAATACACACACTCAAAAGAATTACTTTAAATCATTTAACCCAGTGCTAACCGTTTTAACATTTTAGTATATATTCTTCTTGTTGTTTTTTCTGTGTGTGCGTAATAAAATTGGGAGCAACTGTATATAGAATTTAGCATTTTGATTTTGTTTATTTAGCATATTTCCTAAGTCTAAAGATTTGTAAAACCATTAAAAAATGTTTGTATTATACAGCTGTGTTGTACAGCTGTACCATACTTTAACCATTTCTCTGTTGGTGATCATTTAGGTTGTTTCCAATTTATTAATGTAATAAATAAAACTTCTATGAACATCTTTATACCTGGGAAAAACTCTAAAATGCCTTATGAACATTAGTGTAGTTATTGTTCTGGTAGCTGATCACTATGAGATTTATCTGGAGTTAAAGGCAATTTTATAATTTCTCTTTTCTATTTTATTCACATAACAGTACTTTTCAGAATGTGACCTAATACATGGATGAATATTATGATCACAGCTAGATAGAACAATTACATTAGTGAGTATCCTGAAGAATGGTTCCCAGAGAACATAAGCTAGCATACCCAGGTTTTTTTTTTTTTTTTTTTGGTTTGTTTTTGTTTTTGACAAAAGCTGGCCATTAAGGGGATCTGAACCCTTGACCTTGGTGTTATCAGCACCATGCTGTAATCTAGTGAACTAACTGGCTAGCCCTGCATACCCCATTTTAACCACTACTTTCTAGACCGTGGGGGGATGTTCAGGTTAGCTTTTATTTCTAGGAACTATGGTTTAACTAATACCATGTCCCAATCATTATACAGAAGAGTAACTCTTAATACTGTATTAAGTATTGGTTGGTCTGTGATTTTTTTTTTTTTTTAGGTGAATGTCTGGGTGGTGCTTTGTACTGGAAGGATCTTGCCATCCTTGCCCAAAAAATTGGGTTCTGTCTTCCATGTTTGGTCACTGCCAATCTCATTACAATTCAAAACAAGGAACTAGAAAGAATTATTGGTAAGAAACAACAGCAGGGACTATTATAACTGCAACCTGAATGGTTCAAATTCTGTGATTAGGAAGTGTCTTCTGAGTGAATCTCATTGAGGGAGACTTTGTATCATCTGGGAATACCCATCTTGTCTCCTGTATAAGAGTAACCTGCCAAAAATATTGCTAAAGCACTTTGAAGTCATTCAGTAAATACAGTGAAATGCCCAGAAAGATAAACATGCAAAGAAGAAAATCATGTTTATAATATGTTTGCTCCTCATCTCCTGAGCAAACCAATAGCTGTTGGAGTGCTGGAGATAAACTATGAATAAATTCTGTTTTTAGGTGACTGTCGTTTTGTTTCTGCAACTTTCGTCTCTTCAAACACCGTAAGACAGGACCAGCCAAAAGATGCCAAGTTATTTACAACGGGGGAATCACAGGACATGAAAAAGAACTAATATTTGATACAAATTTCACATTTAAGGTAAATAAAAATTTCCAGGACTTCTGGCATTCTTTCTACTGTTGCCCTTGCTCCAGGTATTTTTTTCTTGACCTTGAATTGCTTCTCACTTTTCTGGTGGTTTGTGTGTGTGTGTAAATTTGTGTGTGTTTGTGTGCTTATTTCTTTATTTGCTGAACCACTGAAAGTAAGTTGCAGACATCATGAGGTTTCACCCTTAAATATTTCAGCATGCAGGAGCACTTTTATGATTTTGTCCACGGTGTCTCCCAGGTTGATCTTCACATTTGGTTCCCAATAAACTTTACAGAACTTACAAATAAATAAATAAATACATAGATAAACAAATAAATATTTCAGCATGCATCTCCTAAGAATAAAATATTCTAAAATATTCTCCTACACAACCACAATACCATTATCACACCTAAGAACTTTTTTTATGAGAAGCCTCATTCAGACATTGGATTAATGGAGCTATAGAGAAGTGTGATGAAAAGACCAGCAGTGCTGCATAGTGATTCTTCAACTGTTTAATTGTGTCATGGAATTAAGGAATTTTAGCGTTTAATGGTGACACTAATTGGTGTTTCTACTGCTCTTTGTATAGTAGGATTTGTTTTCTGCAAATGGAAATGTACAGGCTTTGGAATCAGATACCTGGGTTTAAATTCTGTCTCTGTTATTTATCACTTGGTAAAAACTTGAATGAGTCACCAAAATTCTTTGAGTTGCAGTTTGCTGCACTGTAAAAGGAGGGATAATAATACCTACTTTGCAGAATTTCTACAAGGATTAGTAATAATTTCTATAAGGATTAGCAATAATATAGAATTTCTGTAAGGATTAGCAATAATATAGCAAAAAATGGTACATACAGAGATTTTAGTAAACAGAAAATACAGTCATTATTTGTTCCAAAGGTGGAAAGAATTAGTGTTTCCTTCTGATTTTTTTGGTCCAAGTAGCATCATCAAATTTCTTAAATACTCTCCTTTGTGCTTTTTCACCGATGTGCCATTCCTTGCCGTACTTCCTTCCACAGTAGATTCACAGAATCAGAGTTAAGGACCTTAGAACCATCCATCTGGTCTAGTGGTTTCCAAAAAAAAAAAAAAAAGTTTTTAAATAGAATAATTTTTTTAAGCAAAATTTAATTTAAAACATCAGTACTTTCTGTATGTCAGGGATTGCTTTCCATAACCCCAATATATGAGCTTTTCTAATAGAAGCAGGGTTGGGTAGCCCAGAATCTCCTGTGTTCACTCCAAGGCATGGGCCCTTTACATCCTGGGACTCACAGAAGTGCACTTTAAAAACCTCTAGTCCAAAGCCGGTAATTTTTCCCCCATTATTTATTTTTTGAGTTGACAAATAAAAATTGTATGTACTAATGGTATACAATATGATGTTTTGTCATATGCATACATTGTGGAATGGCTAAATCAAGCTAATCAACATATGCATTATCTCAGCTACTTACTATTTATTTGTGGTGAGAACACTTAAAATTTACTCTTTTAGCAATTTTTCTAGTGTACAATACATTGTTAACTACAGTCCCCATGTTGTACAGTATATCTCTTGAACTTATGACTCCTAACTGAAATTTTGTGTGCTTTGACCAGCATCTCCCCAATCCCCCAACCCCGACCCCCAGCCCATGGTAACTACCATTCTACTCTCTGCTGCTATGAGTTCAACTTTTTTAGATTCCACAAATGAATGAGATCATGAGGTATTTGTCTTTCTGTGCATGGCTTATTTCACTTAACATGATATCATTCATGTTCATCCATGTCGTTGCATATGACAGGATTTCTTTCTTTTTTAAGGCTGAACAGTATTCCGTTGTTTATATATACTATATTTTCTTTATCCTTTCATCTGATTCCATATCTTGATTATTGTGAATAATGCTGCAGTGAACACGGGACTGCAGATACCTCGACATACTGATTTCATATCTCTTGGATATATACCCAGCAGTGGGATTTTTGGATCTTATGGTAGTTCTATTTTTAATTTTTTCAGGAACCTCCATTCTTTTCTCCATAGTGGCTATACTAATTTACATTCCCACCAGCAGTGTACAAGGGTCCCCCTTTTCTCCACATCCTCGCCAACTTATCTTTTGTCCAAAGCCGTCATTTTTGAAGGGCCGGCCCGTGGCTCACTCGGGAGAGTGTGGTGCTGATAACACCAAGGCCACAGGTTCGGATCCCATATAGGGATGGCCGGTTGGCTCACTGGGTGAGCGTGGTGCTGACAAAGCCATCATTTTTGTGATGAATAAGGTAAAGCTCAGAGAACAGTTTTCTACATCTGTCTCTAAGTAGAGACTAGCCACTGGAGGAACGAGTATCCCTTTTTAGTGCTATCACCAAAGAAAAGCTGATTATAACACTGGTCACTTCCATCTGGAAATAAACATGAAACTAGCTGCAGGATCTGAACATGAGAGAATACCATGTTGGAAGGTATGGTCTTTTATCTTGAAATGCCACTCATTAGTAAAACATCTGGGCATTTTTCTTTTATTGAGACTAAAGGGGCATCTCTTAATATGTGTTTTTTATGCTACCCTTTAGAAAGGTGAAGCTGTTGAAGTGGATGAAGAAACAGCAGCTATCCTAAAGAATTCACAATTTGCCCAAGACTTTCTGATCAGACCAGCTGGAGAGAAGTTGCCAACATCTGGAGGCTGTTCTACTTTAGAATCAAAGGTTTGTTTGGCTTTCCTTACCTCAAACAGAGAACCATTTTTTCAAAAATCATCATGCTTGCCACAGCCTACTACTAAAGCAAGAAACAAGTCATTATTCTTTGCAGTTGGCCACCACAATTTATTTCTAGCATATTTTTATCTCTAAAATGGGTATCTATAAAATGATTTGAATTAATTTCATAACTTCACTTTTCAATCCTGACAGTAAGTCATATATTCCTAACTTGATACATCCATGAATGGACTTCAGGGAATCCACCAACCCTTTAAAATTTTATGTGTGGGACTGGCCAATTAGCAGTTGGTTAGAGTGTGGTGCTGATAACACCAAGTTCCAGGGTTTGATCCCTGTACTAATCAGCCAAAAAGAAAAAAAAAATCATTTGTGTGTATGTATATTTTCTCAGGGGAGGATGTATTATTTTCATCAGGTTCTCAAAGGGGTCCAGATACAAAAAGGTTAAGAGCTACCTTTAAAAAAGTTATGCAAATTATACACACATATTTTTAAGTCTTTTAATACAGATATTCATATTGCTCTTCAGAAAGATTGTACCAGTCTACATGCCTACCTGATACCTTTTCCTTGCACTCTACTAATATCGGGTAGTATTAAAAAAATCTTTGCTTGTCTGATAGGCAGAAAATAATTTGTTGTTTTATTTTGTATATTTTGAACTTTTTGGTATATTTATCGACCATTTATATTTCACCTATGTGGACTTCCTATATAATGCCTTTAACCATTTTCTATTACAGTGTATATTAGCCTTTTTAAAAATTGCTCTATAAGAGATTCTTTCATGTTACAAGTATTTTTTCTCAGTATGTCAAAAAATAAAAAAAATAAAAAAGTTATGCAAATTATACACACATATTTTTAAGTCTTTTAATACAGATATTCATATTGCTCTTCAGAAAGATTGTACCAGTCTACATGCCTACCTGATACCTTTTCCTTGCACTCTACTAATATCGGGTAGTATTAAAAAAATCTTTGCTTGTCTGATAGGCAGAAAATAATTTGTTGTTTTATTTTGTATATTTTGAACTTTTTGGTATATTTATCGACCATTTATATTTCACCTATGTGGACTTCCTATATAATGCCTTTAACCATTTTCTATTACAGTGTATATTAGCCTTTTTAAAAATTGCTCTATAAGAGATTCTTTCATGTTACAAGTATTTTTTCTCAGTATGTCATTTATCTTTTGAATTCCTTTTCCCCCCAATAGATGTTTTCATTTTTTATATAGGTATTTCCTTTATGGTTTCTGCTTTTGATGTTATGATTGGAAAGACCTACCCTATGTGAATGTTATTAATTGACCTATATTTTCTTCTTTGTACTTTTAAAAATTGAGATAAAATTCACATAACATAAAATTCGCCATTTTAGCCACTTTAAAGTGTATGGTTCAGTGGCTTTTAGTGTATTCACAAGATTGTGCAACTATCACCACTATCTAGTTACAGCGCATTTTCATAATCTCAAAAAGAAACCTCATACCCATTAAGCAATCATTCCCCAATCCTCCTTCTTGCTAGTACCTGGCAATGACTAATCTGATTTCTGTCTCCATGGATTTTCCTATTCCAGACATTTCATATAAGAGGTGTCATACACTATATGTCTGGCTTCTTTCACTTAACATGTTTTCAAGGTTTATCCGTATTGTATCTGTAATTCTTTTTATGGCTGAATAATATTCCATTGTGTGGATATACCATATTTTATTTATCCATTCACCAGTTGATGGACATTGTTCTACTTTTTGGCTATTGTGAATAGTGCTGCTGTGAATATGCATATATGTATACTTGTTCGAGTACCTATTTTCAGTTCTTTTGGGTCTATACCTAGGAGTAGAATTGTTGGGTCTTATGGTAATTCTACGTTTAACTTTTTTGAAGGACCACCAATCTGTTTTCCATAGAAGCTATACCATTTTACATTCCTGTCAGCAATATATAAATGTTCTGATCTCCCTTTATCCTTTCCAATACTTATTTTCTGGTTTTTTGACAGTAGCCATCCTAGTGGGTGTCAGGTGGTATCTCTCTGTAGTCTTGATTTGCATTACTGTAATGATTAGTGATGCTGAACATTTCTCCATGTGTTTATTGGCCATTTGTATATCCTCTTTGAAAAAATGTCTATACAAGTCCTTTGTCCATTTTTAAATTGGGTTGGTTTTCTTTTTGTTGTTGTGTTGTAGGAGTTCTTCGTATATTCTTGACATTAGACCCTTATCAGATATATGATTTATAAAATTTTTTCCCATTCTGTGGGCTGTCTTTTCACTCTGATAGTGTCCTTTGATGCACAAAAGGTTTTAATTTGATGAAGTCCTATTTATCTATTTTTTCTTTGATTGCTTGTGCTTTTGGTGTCATATCTAAGAATCCATTGCCAAGACCAAGGTCATAAAGGTGCTTTTAGTAGTTTTTAAATTTTTTAATTATTTTTTTATTGTGGTAAAATACACATAACATAAAATTTACCATCTTAACCATTTTTTTTTTCCTTTTTGTCTTTTTTTTTTTACTGACCGGAAACGGGATCACAACCCTCGGTGTCGCGCCCGTACCGGGGACCGGCAATGGGATCGCAATCCTCGATGTTGTGCCCGCACCACGCTCAGCCAGTGAGCGGGAACCAGTCTCCACATGGGATCCAAACCCTTGGCGGGAGCACCGCCGCGCTCCCAAGCAGCACACTCTCCAGTGCGCCACCGGGCCGGCCCCATCTTAAACATTTTTAAGTGTACAGTTCAGTGGTATTAAATACATTTATAATGTTATACAACCATCACCACCATCCATCTCCATAAATCTTTTCATCTTGTGAAACTGATACTCTGTATTCATTAAAAAAATAACTCCCCATTCTCCCCTCCCCCGCAGCCCCTGGAAGCCACCATTCTACTTTCTGACTCTATAGCGCACTCTCCAGTGCGCCACCAGGCTGGCCCCATCTTAAACATTTTTAAGTGTACAGTTCAATGGTATTAAATACATTTATAATGTTATACAACCATCACCACCATCCATCTCCATAAATCTTTTCATCTTGTGAAACTGACACTCTGTATTCATTAAAAAAAAACTCCCCATTCTCCCCTCCCCCGCAGCCCCTGGAAGCCACCATTCTACTTTCTGACTCTATGAATTTGACTGCTCTAAGCACCTCACACAAGTGGAATCATACAGTGTTTATCTGTTTATGACTGACTTATTTCACTTAGCTTAATGTCCTTAAGGTTCATCCATGTTGTAGCATGTGTCAGAATTTCCTTTCTTTTTAAGGCTGTATAACATTCTTCTTCTAGTACTTTTATGTCTTTGTTTTTCACACTTAAATTTTTAATCCACCTGGAATTTATTTTAGCATAAATATTGAGGTATGAGTGTGACTTTTTTTCCAAATACTAACTAGTTCAAGTTTTCCTATTTCATTTATTAAATAATCATTTCTCCACTGTTTTGAAATGGTAACTTTCATCATATCCTAATTTCTTAAAAGTATATTTGGGCCAATATTCCACTATCTTCTAAAATGATTATTTTCTAAACTATTTTAGATTCATATTTAGAATTATATTAGTAACTGAAATATTGGAATAGTATTTTCTAAAGCATTTTATCACAATCTGTCTTACGTAATCTCTCACAACTACCCTGTGAACAAGGCAGATGGGTAGTTATGACAGATACTAGCATTCTTTTCCTTTCTCTCTCATATATTTTTATATTTCCCCTGTTCATGCTATTCTAATTATTTTTAATTAATTCACTAATTTATAATATTATAATGTTTAGAACAGGCTTAGTGATGGATTTCAAGACTCTTGGCTGATAGAACTTCTCCCGACATTCTCCAAGGTCATAACAGTGATGCACCTCAAGGCATTAAATGTTGGAAGCCCAAGGAAATAAAATACTGATGTTGCTGTGGTAGGATGGTGGCATAGTGTGGGGTTTAAGTACACAGGCCTTGGAGTCAGACAGACTAAGTTCAGATCCTGGCTTTGCCACTTAAGTGTGATCTTGGGCAAGTTATCTAACCTCCCTAAACATTAGTTTCCTTGTGTGTAATGGGGAGGTAATAATCACTTTCTTTCCTCAGGTTGTGAGGATCAAATGAAATGATATGTGTGAAATGCTTAACCCAATGCCTGGCACATAATACATACCCAGGAAAGAGAAGCAGTTATAATTACGGATTTGTACTTATTAAGATTCTTGGTCTCTTGGGACTGTGCTTTAAGTATTTGAATTCTGACCAGGATTCTTTGCAGGATTCTTTTATGATTCTCCCACACACCCTTTCTCCTGGTCTCAGGAATTCTGTAATTTTTCTCCATGAATTTTTGCTTTCTATTGCTTGTTTTTTGTAGTAATTTTGGACACATTGAGTGTACATTGATATACAAGTAACTCTTGTGCCTTTTTCTCCTTCTTCTGTTACCTTGTAAGCAGTCTTTAAGAGTAAAGCTTATTTAGAGATCACTCAAAAATGGTAAATTTGTAGTTGGGGAAGGTTAGCTGAACCCAAAAGATAAGAATCGTGGAGCTAAAATCCTGGAGTGAGTATTACCAGCATGAATCTAGCCCAAGCTAAGTATAGAAGCCACTTGTAGATCTGAAGAATGATTTCCTTTCTTTGGTTTATTAAATTCTTGTGCACTCTGCTATTGTCACTCTTCTGTTTTTCTAAGAAGCTAGAAAGATTTGAATTTTGGGGGGAAACTAGAGAGATTTGACTTTTGACTATTCAGTTCATTAAACATTTCACAAATGTGAAATTGGTAGTTTGGAACTCTGGGGAGTTCACTGATAACAAAACCTTGCTTGTCAGTATCAATGTTTATTTTAAAATGTTTTTATTATTCTAATTATGCTGTAGTCTGATTTCCTAAATACTGGTTATAAACGATGTCAGAGAAAAAAAGTCTTTCCTCCAACCATAACATTTCCAGTGTCCTCTGGCTGTAAAAAACGTGGCTAAAGGAGTGGCTTCTGCAGAAGACTATTTTCTCCTGGTGTCTCTCTCCTGGTTTTCCCTCCTAGCATGCATGCAGCACACGCAGAGGAGGGTTCTTGACCTCAGATATGAATTGTAAAATTTTACATATTTGAACTTGTTCATCCCAACATACAGTTTCCTTTCTATTCTACCTAATTTCCTTCAGCCTGCAGATGTGCCAATTTAGATCCAGTTCCAAGTTTTTGAAATGGGAACAGATGACACTGAAGGAAGATTAAAAATTTAAAAGAGCTGTGTGACCTAGGAGTCTAGCCTTGTGCTCTTGGGAGAGGACATTCTTATCTTTTTTATGGAGGTTTTTTTTCTTTTTTTCCTTGGCAGCTGGCTGGTAGGGGGATCCAAACACTTGACCTTGGTGTTAAAACACTGCATTCTAACCAACTGAACTAACCAGCCAGCCCCCAGAAGACTTTTAGATAAACTGTAAAGTAAGGACAGTACAGGCAGGTGGCCAGCAGGAACTGCATGTACTTATGTTTTCCGTCAGTATTTGCCTCAATAGAGTAATGAAAGGTGAAGATTGTTTTTGAGAGCCCTTCTGCTGCTTTTTCTTTTCTTCTTTCTAATCCTGACAGGCAAAGTGTATTTTGCTACTAAGAAAATTGTTATTAAAACACTGCAGCATCTGAAATGATGCAAATAGAATTTGTGCTATGGACTGTCTTGCTTTCATTAATAGTAATGGTGGCAATGGCACTAACAACAATAGCAATAATATAGAGGAACTAACTTTTATTGAACAGTTAGTATGTTCAAGGGACCATGTCATTTAGTCCTCACAAAAACCCTTTTTATCCTCATTTTACAGATGAAGAAACTGAGAGGCTCAGAAAGATTAATTTACTAATCCAAGGTCACACAGCCAAAAAGTGGTGAATTTGAACCCATGTCTGATTCTGGAGCTGACACTCTTAACCATGCTGCACAGCCTCTCCGTATTTATACTTTTCACAGAATCACAGGATGTTGAAAGGACTGTTTATCCAGACATCCCACCTTTTATTTCCCTCAGGTCTTGAGTTTTTTTGTTTTTTTTTTTAAAGATATCAATAAGGAGATCTTAACCCTTGACTTGGTGTTGTCAGCACCACGCTCACCCAAGTGAGCTAAACAGCCATCCCTATACTGGGATCCGAATTCACAGCCTTGGTGTTATCAGCACCACACTCTCCCTAGTGAGCCATGGAACAGCCCTGGTCTTGAGATCTTTTAGTGCTAGGAGCATGCATTTGAAAATGATATTGATATTACTGTCTCCCACTGGTAGACAGGACATTGAGTGGGAAGAAGAAGGGTCTGGAAAGTCATTTTTCTGGGTGAAAAAGAGGAGAGGCTAACTTTTCCAAGAAGGAGTTCCAGAACACTGAGAGGAGGGAATACAGTAGATGTGAAGGCCTGGCAGCAACAACCAGCCCAGCTGCCCTTCTTCCAGGCCTGCAGATCTCCTGCAAGATGCTAGTCTGCATTTGACAGAGCCCAGATCCAGGCAGACCTCTTCCTTATAGAAAGGTGGAAACTGAGGTCCCGAATGGTCAGGCCACCAGTAGGTTACTTCAGTAATTGGAATGGTCCACAAGTCCATCATTTTCATGAGGGTAGACTCTGCGCCTGTCCTGTAAATTCTTCTTATTTGCAGTGACCAGCATTAAATACTATGAGTATAAATTTAATGAATTAGTTATTATTCTTTAAATTCATGTTGATTTCCTATCTTTGTGCTTGATTTTTGTTTGGCCCCTCTAGTGCTACTGTTGGAGGTATCTCATTTGGAAGTGAAAGGAGGAAAAACAGACTGCAGTCTTGTCTTTTGAAAACTTCACTTACTGTGCTCTGCGATCTGGCTGGCTATTGCTGGCAATCTCAACATCTGAACATTAGCAATTGCTAATGATGGCCCTGTATCTGGGATTTACTTTCTTGTCTTGCACACATTTCTGGGGATTAGAGTAAGGAAAGGGAAGAAGTTTTAATATTTCAGTATCTTAGTTCCATAGGGTTAAAGAGCACATGCAAATAGGAATCCCACAAAACAAAATCAACTGAGCAAATTCAACTCTTCTGGCCCAATAAGTACCATCTTTAAGAAGCTTTAAATGAACTTTACTTTGATATTAGTAATAAGTTGGTTAGAAGTTTCAGGAATAGAGTGCCTTTGTAGCAGAATGACTGATGCTACTCCCAGGAACCCATGGAATTATAAAATTTATCTCCCTTCTATGTAAATCAACCTAAATCAAACAAGAACATTGGTATTTGGGCACATCAAAACACCTTTAACTTGTCCTTTCATTTTGGTTTGCTTTTTGACAGGATATAATCACAGATCCATTTCAGCTTGCAGAAGAGTCTGAAAATATGAAGTCCAGGTGTGCCCCTGATGTTGCTGGCAGGTGCTGTGGCACAAAGGAAAGCTGCTAAATCTACAGCTGACTAGATCACAGTAGTGGACAAGAGGCTAAAGAATGATTTGCATACATTTTAAAATCTGCTCTTCTCCATAGCACAGACCATTAGAAAAACTAAATGGCAAAAAGGCACCAAATTCTAGATCATTAATAAAAATAAATGAATTATGTTTTTTGATTCAATAAAAATTAAAAAATAAATAAAAATAAATGAATTATTTTTAGGAGGTATTAATTAAAGGTTTACAGCGAATCACCTACCTAAAGACAAGTTAAAACAGGTGTTCTATTTCTTAACTAACTCAAAGCTCTGGTGCCACTTAGTGGTCAGAAGTGGAACTAAGCAGCCGTCTTAATGCTTGGCCAAGGGGCAAGAAAGGCTTCAGAAGTAACAGTTGGCAGAGAGTCTCAGGAAAAACATCTTTTTTTCTGCATATCAGTTTTTGCACTCTGCTTTATCTTTTCCCATTAAACATAGCCCCTTCTGAAATTATGTTAATCATGCAAAAAGACTGCCAAATCGAATTTGGTAGGAGAGTTCTTGGGGTTACTGTCTTTTAAATCAAACACTTTTTCCCCCTTTTTTCTTTTTGCAATTGAATTAAGAAAACAAATGAATAATAAATTTCTTCAACCTCCGTTCACCCAAATGACTGATGAAATAATGCTTATCTATAGGAAATCCTAACTAGATCAGGAAAAGAGTTTGGTAAGTTTTAAAAAGGAGAGCTAGGAAATGTAAAAAAAGGTAGATTTTCTCTTCCTTTATAAGGCACTTTGGTTAAACTTGTAAGAAAGTATTAGATTTAGTTCTAGTTTCTGTAGTTAAAGAAAAAGATTAAGACCATTAAGGAGGGCTGAGCCCGTGGCACACGGGAGAGTGCAGCGCTGGGAGCGAAGCGGTGCTCCCGCCGCGGGTTCGGATCCTATACAGGGATGGCCGGTGCGCTCGCTGGCTGAGTGCAGTGTGGGCGACATCACACCAAGGGTTGCGGTCCCCTTACCGGTCACGAAAAAGACAAAAAAAAAAAAAGACCATTAAGGAAAGGTTCAAGGATGATTAAATAAATTGAAGTCCAGTTGTACTTAAATACCTTGTGGAAATACACAGAAAGGTATAAATCATGGTCCTTGTCATCAGGAGCTCATAGTTCAGTCTTTTAATAACAGCCTTCACCCAGTGAAGGGTTTTGATAAGAAAATCCTAAACATTTCCTCTGAGCTCAGTGCAGAAAAGAACAACGGGACAGCTGGCATGGCCCAAGAGATTTTTGATTAGGGGTTTGAGAATTTTTAGACCTGTAAAACATTGGAGTGGATTCTATAGGATAGATTCCTCTTTTAGGAAAGCTGTTTCAAATGGAGAAATTCTCAGATTTCCAAGTAGGTTCAGCTATACACCCTGTTTTACTATTACAGGCAGAAGAACGGTCTAGGTGGTATCTTTTAAGCCCTATTCACCTCTGTGACCTTGATTTTAAACAGTGTTTTCTTGGGTCTAGAGTTCCGTATCTTCCCAGTCGTAACCTGCTTTAATGTTANAACATCTTTATACATTACTTTCCAACAAAAGTATACAAAAAAAAAATTGCATTTTATTTGGAGTATAGAGAAAAGTATGTATTAGATAATATAAAATTAAAGTAGATGTGTTTTCCCCAGGAAAATGCCATAAACGGGTATTTAAATATTCTGAATAGGTAAAATAGACAATGACGAATGTACAAAGCCTTAGAAGAGAGCATTTTTCTCCTTTATGAGAGGCAGTATGAAGTGAAGATTAAGAACAAAAACCCTGATGCCAAACTTTATTGTTTTTTTCCTCTCAGCTCTGCCACTTACTATCATTTTGGCCTTGATAAAATTATTTTAACATCTCTGTGCTTTTGCATCTTCATTTGTATCGAGTTCTTTGAAACAAAGTGTCTAGCACATTGTTTAGATTATTATTAACTTAGATCTATATGGTTGCTACAAGCACATGATGTCAGGACCAGCTGAAGACCAGTGCTTCTTTTGCTGCCAGAGCATCAGTTAAGGAAGCTGCTTGTAGCTCTTTTTTGTTTTTTTCTTCCTTTTTTTGTCTTTTTTCATGACCGGTAACGGGATCGCAACCCTTGGTGTCGCGCCTGCACTGCACTCAACCAGTGAGCAGACTGGTCTCTACACGGGATCCGAACCCTCGGTGGGAGCGCCGCCCTCTACCGAGTGCGCCACCGGGCCGGCCCATGTAGCTCTTTTTTTTTTTTTTTTTCAATTTTTGTCTTTTTTACTGACTGGTAACGGGATCGCAACCCTCGGTGTTGCGCCCGCACCGTGCTCAGCCAGTGAGCGGGAACCGGTCTCCACATGGGATCTGAACCCTCGGCGGGAGCGCTGCTGCACTCCCAAGCGGCGCACTCTCCAGTGCGCCACCAGGTGGGTCCCCATGTAGCTCTTTTGATAGCAGGTAACATTCCTCCCAACAGTTTATTATGACATTTTTCAAATATACAGAAAATAAAGAATTGTAGCAACTATTCGTGTACCTATCACCTAGACTGTAGAATTGTTAACCTATGGCAATCATTTTATACATTTTAAACTATACTTACTAACAGAAGAGCCACAGAAACGGGCGTAAATCTCTAGCTACAAGCCTTTTTCAAAAGCGTTTAAGGAGATTTTTTTCTTAATTGATTACTGTATCAAATACAGCATTTTTAGTACTGCATTATCACGGGGAGGATTTATTTAAAAAATTATGGAAGGCTGCAGAGGCTTTTCAGCTTACCTACTGGGGGAGGCTCAGCAGTGGCCTAAACAGGCCCCCCATCTCCACCTCCAACCATGCCTAGCTGAGAAGGACATGGTTTTTATGCCAGCATGACAGCAGAGCCTGTTCCTCCTATTGATTTCTGGCCTGCCTTGGATGGCTCCATTGAAGTAGCCAAGGTGGTCCCGGTCCAGTACGGGCGCGACACTGAGGGTTGCGATCCGTTGCCGGACACGAAAAAAAAAATTGCATTTTATTTGGAGTATAGAGAAAAGTATGTATTAGATAATATAAAATTAAAGTAGATGTGTTTTCCCCAGGAAAATGCCATAAACGGGTATTTAAATATTCTGAATAGGTAAAATAGACAATGACGAATGTACAAAGCCTTAGAAGAGAGCATTTTTCTCCTTTATGAGAGGCAGTATGAAGTGAAGATTAAGAACAAAAACCCTGATGCCAAACTTTATTGTTTTTTTCCTCTCAGCTCTGCCACTTACTATCATTTTGGCCTTGATAAAATTATTTTAACATCTCTGTGCTTTTGCATCTTCATTTGTATCGAGTTCTTTGAAACAAAGTGTCTAGCACATTGTTTAGATTATTATTAACTTAGATCTATATGGTTGCTACAAGCACATGATGTCAGGACCAGCTGAAGACCAGTGCTTCTTTTGCTGCCAGAGCATCAGTTAAGGAAGCTGCTTGTAGCTCTTTTTTGTTTTTTTCTTCCTTTTTTTGTCTTTTTTCGTGACCGGTAACGGGATCGCAACCCTTGGTGTCGCGCCTGCACTGCGCTCAACCAGTGAGCAGACTGGTCTCTACACGGGATCCGAACCCTCGGTGGGAGCGCCGCCCTCTACCGAGTGCGCCACCGGGCCGGCCCATGTAGCTCTTTTTTTTTTTTTTTTTCATTTTTGTCTTTTTTACTGACTGGTAACGGGATCGCAACCCTCGGTGTTGCGCCCGCACCGTGCTCAGCCAGTGAGCGGGAACCGGTCTCCACATGGGATCTGAACCCTCGGCGGGAGCGCTGCTGCACTCCCAAGCGGCGCACTCTCCAGTGCGCCACCAGGTGGGCCCCCATGTAGCTCTTTTGATAGCAGGTAACATTCCTCCCAACAGTTTATTATGACATTTTTCAAATATACAGAAAATAAAGAATTGTAGCAACTATTCGTGTACCTATCACCTAGACTGTAGAATTGTTAACCTATGGCAATCATTTTATACATTTTAAACTATACTTACTAACAGAAGAGCCACAGAAACGGGCGTAAATCTCTAGCTACAAGCCTTTTTCAAAAGCGTTTAAGGAGATTTTTTTCTTAATTGATTACTGTATCAAATACAGCATTTTTAGTACTGCATTATCACGGGGAGGATTTATTTAAAAAATTATGGAAGGCTGCAGAGGCTTTTCAGCTTACCTACTGGGGGAGGCTCAGCAGTGGCCTAAACAGGCCCCCCATCTCCACCTCCAACCATGCCTAGCTGAGAAGGACATGGTTTTTATGCCAGCATGACAGCAGAGCCTGTTCCTCCTATTGATTTCTGGCCTGCCTTGGATGGCTCCATTGAAGTAGCCAAGGTAATCACTAATTCTACCATAGTTGGTTGGAAATTCTACTAAATGAGTCTGGCAAGGAATGTGAATCTATCCATCCGTTCTTTCATTTATTCACTAAATAGTAATTAAGTACCTGCTGTGTACCAGACACTATCCTAGGCACTAATTTCTAAAATGGAATATTATGAATCCTGTGGGCCAACAGGACAAGAACAGCTGAGCATGTTTTCTAACCTTTGTTAGCACCTGTCTTCACTTCTCTTATTTGCCAAGTTTCTTCAACCACGCACCACAATTTGGGTCCAAACAAAGGTTCGTTTGTAGACCTCGTCCTAAGAGTCAGTAGAGGGAGGGCTCATAGATTAAAGATGAACTCTTTGCAAACATGAAGCTGGAATTACACAATCCTAATAATAACCTATGACTTGAACTTTACTGCTTCATTCTAGTCTCTCTTCAACTGCTGATCCTGCAATTCCTGTAAGCACAACTCCCACTGAGGTAATGGGAGTGTCGTGAATGTAAGTTTTGTACTTAATCTCCCGCTGAGCGAGTCTTGCTTGTCTTGGACTAACAAGTCTACCAATCCCCGTCCCCAATGGGAACAGGCTAGTCCCTCCTTTCACATAGCAGGGCCATGCTGCAGTGGTGTGCTCCAGGTGAGGGGAAAATCAATTTGGAACAAAAGCGTTCTGTCCTAATGCTATTCCACTGCCTCATTCATGTACATTGTCCAGGAGCCAGAGAGAGTAAAAAAGTAGAATGGTAAATCAGTGATGTTCTGGGTACACTGTAAGCCAGACTTGGATGGCTAACTTTTTGACTAGGCCTAAAGCCATTAACTCTCTCATTGGTGGAATTAAAAGTGATGC